GGTAGACTGCACCCCTGGATGCTGCAAATAGAGCCCAAGCAGGAGTGTTCGGGGTGACCTCACAGGCCACAAGTTCCCTTACCATCCTACAGCTCTCATCTTTTCCTGTTCTTTTTCTGATCATTCTGTGGTCATTATTATAAGTGAAATTACTAGGGATTTTTGTTTGTTTGATTTTAGAGAGGAAGGGAGAGAGAGAAACATCAATTTGTTGTTCCACTTATTTATTCATCTATTGGTTGAGTCTTGTATGTGCCCTGATTGGGGATTGAACCCACAACCTTGGTGATTAGGAGGATGCTCTAACCAACTGAACTACCCGGCCAGGGCACGAGTTTTCTTACTAATTATTTGTAACTGAAAGTGTATCCCGCCCTGGCCGGTTTGGCTCAGTGGTTAGAGCATTGGCCTGCGGTCCGGAGAGACCCGGGTTCGGTTCCCGCTAAGGGCGCGTACCTCGGTTGCAGTTTTTCCCCGGCCCTGGTTGGTTGTGCGGGTGGCGACCACTCGATGTGTCCCTTTCACATTGATGTGTCTCTCTCTGTTCCTCTCTCTCCATCCCACTCTATCTGAACAAAGAATGGAAAAATGTCCTCGGGTGAGGATGATAAAAAAAAAAAAAGAAAGAAAGTGTATCCCTTCAGCCAGGCCTGACCCTGAGCTATGTATTTCCTTCTTTCTGGGCTTCTATATGTGGTAGGGGTCTGAGGACTCTCAAATGAGCCTACCTCAGTCTCTAACCTGCCCCACCAACATCCCTCCTCAATAAAGAAGGCATCTGTCTGCCCTGACCAAGTGGCTCAGTTAGTTACAGCATCATCCTGTACACAAAAATGTTGGGGATTCAGTTCCTGGTCAGGATATATACATATATTGCAGGTTCAATCCCCAGTTGGGACACATACAGGAGGCAGCCAATCAGTGTTTCTTTCTCATGTCTCCATCTTCCCCCTTCCCTTATCTCTCTAAAATCAATAAAAACATATCCTTGGGTGAAGATAAAGAAAAAGAAGGTGCCCTGGCCGGTTTGGCTCAGCGGTTAGAGCGTCCGCTGCGGTCCTGAGAGACCCGGGTTCAGTTCCCGCTAAGGGCGCGTACCTCGGTTGCAGTTTGTCCCCGGCCCTGGTCGGTTGTGCGGGTGGCAGCCACTCGATGTGTTTCTTTCACATTGATGTTTCTCTCTCTCTCTCTGTTCCTCTCTCTCCCTCCCACTCTACCTGAACAAAAAATGGAAAAAAAAAAATGTCCTCAGGTGAGGATAAAAAGAAAAGAAAAGCCCTGGCCGGTTTGGCTCAGCGGTTAGAGCGTCGGCCTGCGGTCCGGGGAGACCCGGGTTCGGTTCCCGCTAAGGGCATGTACCTCGGTTGCAGTTTGTCCCCGGCTCTGGTCAGTCGTGTGAGTGGCAGCCACTCGAGGTGTCCCTTCACGTCGATGTTTCTCTCTCTCTCTCTGTTCCTCTCTCCCCCTCCTACTCTACCTGAACAAAAAATGGAAAAATGTCCTCGGGTGAGGATAAAAAAAAGAAAAAAAAAAAAAAGAAAAAGAAGGCACTTGTCTTTCTAGGCACTGAGTTCCCAAAGCCTAGAGTTGGCTTTGACTCCCCCCGTCAATCTCCACTTAGCAATTCTGTCAGCCTGTACCTTCAAATTATATTTAGTGCCCGGCTGGTGTGGTTAGTGGTTGAGCATCAACCCATGCACCAAGAGGTTGCCGGTTCAATTCCCGGTCAGGGCACATGCCCAGGTTATGGGCCAAATTCCCAGTGTGGGGCATGCAGGAGGCAGCCAATCGATGTTCTCTCATCAATTTTTCTATCTCTTTCTCACTTCCTCTCTCTCTAAAGATCAATAAAGAACAAAATTTTTTTTAAAATTATATCTACCCAGTTACTAGCACCCAGTGCTAGTCATCTCCTACCTGGACTAGCACAGTCCCTCTGCCCTGGTCTCCAGGCTCCCACCCCCAACAATCTGTTTTCCCCCCACTGCCACCAGGGGACACCTATAAACACCTGAGTCTGTCACATCCTTCCTGTGTTCAGAACCCTCTGTGGCTCCCACTTAAGTAGAAGCTATAGTCTTTCCCATGGCCCACCAGGTCTGAATGATCTGCCCCTTCCCCTACCCACTCTCTTCTCCACCTTCCCCTTGCTCACTCTGCTCCAGCCATGCTGGTCTCCTCACTCTTCCTCAGCCCCTCCTAGCATATTTCTGCCTCAGGGCCTTTGCACAGGCTGTTCTCTTTACCTTAGAACACACTTCCACCAGATACCCACATGGCTACCTCACTCAGATGTCTTTTCTCAGATGTGATCTTCTTGGGGAGAAAATCCCTGACCCTCTTCTTTTTTTTTTTATCCTCACCCGAGGACATTCTTCCTCTTTTTGTTCAGATAGAGTGGGAAAGAGAGAGAGGAAGAGAGAGAGAAACATCGACATGAAAGGGACACATCGAGTGGCCGCCACCCGCACGACCCAACTAGAGCCGGGGACAAACCAGGACAAACCAGGCATGCGCCCTCAGTGGGAACCGAACTCAGGTCTTTCTGGACCGCAGGCCAACGCTCCAACTGCTGAGCCAAACCGGCCAGGGTGCTGACCCTCTTCTTCAATCTTAATCACATTTAAATTTTAATCCCCTGTCCACTCCCTACCCCCTTCCCAGTATTCTTCTTCTCCCTACCACTGTTGTCTCTCTCACATACTAGAATGTCAGTTCCACAAGGGCAAGGGTTTTTGTCTGCTCTCTGCTGTGTTCCCAGTGTCTAGAAAAGGCCTGAGACAAGATGGGCATGCTGTAAATATTTGTGGAATGAATGAGTGAAGAACTTAACGGTATGATGTATTAATGACAACTGTGCCTCCCATTTGTTAAGTGACTTTTGTGCCCTGACCATATGGTGAGGCTTTTTTCTTCTGCGAGCTTTGAGAGGAGGAAACAGACCTGCAGATGTGGAGCCATGCCTCGAGTAAATGGCCATGGTAGAGATAGGGCTTTAACACCCACATCACTTCCCCCAACAGGAAAAGAAAAAAGCCCTGCAGGAGGAGGAGGAGAGGGACCAGGCACTGCAGGCTAAGGCAAACCTGGCCATCCCACTGGTGCCTGAGACAGAGGACGACCGCAGGCTGGCCGCCTTGCTCAAGTTCCATACCCTGGACTGTGCGTGGGGGCCAAAGGGCATAGGGGTTGGGATGGGGAGAGATGGGAGGTCTCAGCTGTGAGAGGGCCATGGCAGACTTGGGCAGAGGGTGGCTCTGGACCTCTTTCCCTCTCTTCTCCCCCCCCCCCCCCACCTCCCACAGCATACGAGGATAAGCAGAAACTCAAGCGGACAGAGATCATCGGCCGCTCCTGGTTCTCCTCGGCCTCTGGACCCAGCAGCAGCAGCAAAGCTGGCAGTGTCTTGAAGAAGTTGGCCCAGAACCGCAAATCTGCACCCGCTGGCTCCCCCATCACTGTGGGGGACCTGGGTATTGTGCGAAGGCAGTCCCGGGAGATCTTAGAGAGTCCGCAGCATGTTACTGAGACCCCCAAGTCTGAGGAGCCACAGGTGTCAGAGTGCACCACCCAGGACTGGCCCACATATCCTCAAGACTGCTCTCAGGAGACAGCCAAGACCCCCAAGACAAGGGGACCTCAGGGACAGGATGGGAGCTGTCAGGAGAGGCCCCGGTCCTCATCAGGTACCTCCCAGGAGGTAGCCGACCCCCAGGACATGCCACACCCCTGTACCCTCAGTTCCTCCCTTGTGGCTGACTACTCAGACTCAGAGAGTGAGTGACTGATTCTGGACACTGGACCCCCTCAGGAAGTTGAGGCATACCCAGGAGGTCCCTCATGGACTGCAGCCTCACTGGACCACCAACCCTCCTAGAGCTCAAACATCACCCCCTCCCCAGACCTCGCCTTCCCACAGTGAGGGAATTATTTATTTGGTCCTGGAGAGGATGTGTGTGCCTTGTAGGACCCAACCCCCACCCCACATTAAAGCCCTGCTTCTTTGCCCCTGCCTCAGGTTACTAGATGGGCCCAGGGGCTGTCCCTCTCCCCTACTCCACCATCCAACTAAGCTGGGCAGTCCTCTCATTACAAATGATGTTGGGACTACAACTGTGACCACAGCCATGGTCCTCACCCAGGATGATGAGGGTTTCAGGGCCATGGCTCAGGTTGGTCTGCAATCAGGACATACTTCCCAAAGGAGATGACACGGGCTGAGTGGGAAGGATGGGAAGGGGACCAGGGCTGGGGGCCACACGGGGTGCTCATGCAGGTGTGAGCTGTTCATTGTCCCCAGCCCATGGGGACACCTTAGAAGGGTTACTATAAAGGCCCCAGAGTGTTGCTGCTTTTTTAAGGAAACGGGTAAAACTGAGCAGAAAATAGCTCAAAACAGTCTCACATGCACCAGGGACTCATAGCCTTGTCACCTCTCCCTAAACCTTGCAAAGGGAAGATAATTTTGCAAATATTGATGGAGCACTAGGAGTGTGTGAGGGCACTGTCCTAGCCACCAGTGATAGAGCGATGAATAAAACAGACCGTCTTGGAGCTGAGATGCCAGCTGAATTTGTAATCAGAACATGGTGGTCGCAGAAGCGCAGCCCACCAACCCTGCTCCCCACCTTGGTACTCAAGTTTCAGGGCAACAGTAAGAGCCCCTCAGTTCCTGGAATCTCCAGTTAGGGCCTTTCTCTACCTGAGGCAGCACGCGCTTTGATTTAAGGGTGCCCACCTGGGGTTTGGAGGTCATGCTATGACCCCCTAACTGATCAGCCGAACGCTAACTAGGGCCTGGTATCTAGAAGGTTCCCCGTAAATGATGACACTTAATGTAGTTCCGAAGGGGCGGCTAACTGATCTTGGCCAGGAGTGACGGGTTGGGATCGGCGAAGTGCAGGGCGAGTCCCGGGAACCCGCGGGGTTAGTGTGCGCAAGCGCCTCCTTCCGTGGGAGGCCCCGCCCCGCGTGCGTGCGAGCCGCTGCGCCCAGGACCATCTTGGAGCGTGTTGGCCGCACCATGCCTTCTCTGGAGGCGATTCGCTACTCCCGGGGCTCGCTGCAGGTCCTCGACCAGCTGCTGCTACCGCAGCAATGCCGCTACGAGGGGGTGGGCTCAGTGCGCCAGGCCTGGGAGGCCATCCGCACCATGAAGGTGGGGCGCGGCGGCGGTGGTGGAGGTGGGAGGGCGTGCCTTTGCCTGGTGCCCCTGATATCGCCATCCCTCCCTCCAGGTTCGCGGTGCCCCTGCAATCGCGCTTGTGGGTTGCCTCAGCTTGGCCGTAGAGCTGCAGGCCGGCGCCGGAGGGCCGGGACTCGCTGCGCTCGTTGCCTTCGTGCGCGATGCACTGAACTTCTTGGTCACCGCCCGGCCCACCGCGGTCAACATGGCCCGTGCTGCCTGCGACCTGGCCGACGCCGCAGCCCAGGAAGCCGAGCGGGAGGGTGCCACGGAGAAAGCGGTCCGGGAGAGGTAGGGCCCTTGTGCTAGGGACTGCTCTGAGCAGAGGCTAACTCATTTTTTGCTCACAGCGACCCATTTTACAGATGGGAACAGATATGGCACGCTTAGTCCAGGGCACACAGGCAGGACCAAGAGTCGACCCCAGGGAACCTGACCCTAAGGTCCTTGCAGTCAATCCCATGACTCTGCCTCCACTGAACATACCCAGGCTCCCAGTCCTTGGAGGTCCTTTTCAGTGCCACCTCCTTCTATTGGTTTTTTTCTTTTGAGGAATTTTGTTTCTTGTCCTGATCCCTTCCTTGACCTCTTCTTTTCCCACTCTCCCCCTGTGCTCCAGCTACACCATTACCCTTATGTTCTCTGACCCCAATGGGGCTCACTCCTGCCCAGGGGCCTTTGCACATGCCATTTTCTCAGGACAGGTATCTACAGATCAAATGCCCTCCAGGTTTAAGGTTTCTATCTTCCCCACCCCTCAATATGTTACAGCTCATCCCTCTCCCTTCCCCCCACCTTCCTGAATCTGCTTTTTCTTCACCTTATTATCTGCTCATCGTTTGCCTCACTTATTCCAGCGTCAGCTCCATAAGGGCAGAGATTTTTGTCTTGGTCACTGCTTTGCCACCCAGCCTTTGCACACAGGAGGTGCTCAATTAATGTGTTGCATGAGCAAATGGAGTGACAAGTGGCAAAGGCAGAAGGGTCCAGGACTCACAGCTATGAGAGGCCTTCCACACAAGAGAATTGGGCAGGAAGGAGGGGCCAATATGGCCCCGAGGCTGACAACCCCTTGTCGGCCCCAGAGTGATCTGCTACGCTGAGGACATGTTGGAAAAAGACCTCAGAGACAATCGGAGCATTGGAGACCTGGGAGCCCACCACCTCCTGGCACGTGTATCCCCTGCAGGCAGCAAGGTGACTGTGCTGACCCACTGTAACACTGGTGCACTGGCCACTGCTGGCTATGGCACAGCCCTGGGTGAGTGAGTGGGTGTCCATGGGGATGGGTGAGAGCCCCTTTTGGATGCAAGAGAAATCCAAACCACTTTTCCCACCCCCCCAAAATGGAAATTGATTAGTTCTTGTACAGAAACACTTAGGGCCCGTCCAATGTGGCTCAGTGGTTGAGCATCAACCCATGCACCAAGAGGTTGCTGGTTCGATTCCAGGTCAAGGCACATGCCCAGGTTGTGGGCCAAATTTTCAGTGGGGGGCATGCAGGAGGGGGCCAGTCGATGTTCTCTCTTATCGATGTTTTCCTGTCTCTCTTCCTCTCTCTCTCTAAAATCAATAAAGAAAAAAAAACTTTAAAAGAAAAAAGAAACACTTAGGAAGTTGGCTTCAGGAGTGACTGGACCCAAGGGTTCAAATAATAGCATTAGGACCCATCTATTCCTGTCCCTAAGCTCTGCCCTGCTCCCCCTCCACAAGTCAGCTGAGGGCCTGCCAATGTTCAGATCTGAGGAAAAGAACCAAGGGTCTCTTTGCCACCAGTGCCAGACACGTCTCCTCAAAACTCAGGGTCTCTGATGAGGTCACCAGCCCATCTAAGATCAACCATTGGATGGACCTGGCCTGAGTGGACAGAGTGGGAAGGATGTGGATTTAAAGAGAACTGAGGGGGCCCTGGCCGGTTTGGCTCAGCGGTTGGAGCGTCGGCCTGCGGTCCTGAGAGACCCGGGTTCGGTTCCCGCTGGGGGCATGTGCCTCGGTTGCAGTTTGTCCCCGGCCCTGGTCGGTTGTGCGGGTGGCGGCCACTCGATGTGTCCCTTTCACATCGATGTTTCTCTCTCTCTCTCTCTGTTCCTCTCTCTCCCTCCCACTCTACCTGAACAAAAAATGGAAAAATGTTCTCGGGTGAGGATTAAAAAAAACAAAACAAAAATAAAGAGAACTGAGGGGAAGGGAGTGGACTCCCAGGAAAAACTGCAGTACCTGTGACCTGGAAAGGGAGAACTAGGTCCTGGGGCTCAAGGCAGCAGATTCCACTTGACCCTAAATTCTCCAGACTTCCCTACCTGCCTGGGACTCACTCTGGGGCCTGGGGACTGAGGCTCTGATGGCAAGACATCATTTATTCATTTCTCAAAAAATATTGGCACCTACTATGTGCTCTCCCTTTCATGCATGCATGAATTCTGTCACTCAATACACATTTACTAAGTATCTACTACATATATATTTTTCATTCTCACTTGAGAATATTTTTCCATTGATTTTTAGAGAGTAGAAGGGGGGGGGAGAGAAACATGGATGAGAGAGAGACAAATCTTTTGGTTGCCTCCCACACAACCCCAACAGGCCGGGAATCAAACCTGCAACCCAGGTGTGTGCCCTTGACCAGAATTGAACCTGCAACCTTTTGATCCACAGGCCAACACTCTAACGACTGAGCAAAACCAGCCAAGGCTTAAGCATCTGCTATTTGCCAGGTGTAGTCCTAGGCTCTGGGGAACCAGCAGTGAACAAAGTAAACAAAATCTCAGCCATCAGGACAGGAAAGTTAGGAGGAACAGACAAAAGCAAGTCAGTAAATATCTATGATGTGGATAAGGGTGGTAAGTGCTGAGGAGAAAAAGAGAAAGAGGTCAGAGGTGTGGGAGTTGCTGTGTGAGATGGAAGGATCAAGGAAGGACTCACCAAGAAGGTGTTCTCTAAGCACACAGAGGGACAGCCACCACACGGGCCTGGGGATGGGGAGCCTTTGAGATCTGTACCAACTAATGGGCCACCCTGCCCATCTGTCCCCTTCTGTTTCATTCTGGCCTTCTGGTGTGTTGGGCCCTTCAGGTGTGATCCGCTCACTGCACAACCTTGGCCGCCTGAAACACGCCTTCTGCACAGAGACCCGGCCCTACAACCAGGGGGCCCGGCTGACGGCCTTCGAGCTGGTCTACGAGCAGATTCCCGCCACCCTCATCACTGACAGCATGGCAGCAGCTGCCATGGCTCACCGGGATGTGTCAGGTCAGCAGGTGGGGTGCCAGCAGTCAGGGTTCCAGGCATCCTGGGGCAGGTGATTACCCCCAACATCTTGCTCCCCAGCTGTTGTTGTAGGAGCTGACCGTGTGGTTGCCAACGGTGACACAGCCAACAAGGTAGGCACCTACCAGCTGGCCATCGCTGCCAAGTACCATGGCATCCCCTTCTACGTAGCTGCCCCCAGCTCCTCATGTGACCTTCATCTAGAGACAGGCCAACAGATTGTCATCGAGGAACGCCCAGGCCAGGAGCTGACCGATGTCAATGGGGTCAGGATTGCAGCACCCGGTAAGCCATCACTCAGAGGCGCACCACGGAATCTGGGCACTGTCAGTTAGGTACCCCAGTCCCGTCACAGGAGGCAGGTGGCATTTGGGGAGTCATCAGCCTTCTAGGGCACAGGCAGTTTCAAATTCAAGCCAATTTTTGGAATAGAAACATCTTGAGGTCAAATTCAAGGTGAGAATGTCCAACTCATGAGTTGAGAAACCTTGAGCAAATCATCTTGCTATTCTCCACCTCAGTTTTCTCATTTGAAGAACAAATAAGGATACTGTTCAGCCAAGTGCCTATGAAAAGGCACAGATAGTTTTCAGCTTCAGTTTTCAGTTGCCTAAGTTCCCTCATCCCTAAGAGCCCCAGTGTTTCTATCTGTAAAATGACCTGCCTTATAAACCCCAAGACCTTCAGTGAACTAACCCACTTAACATGGAGAATAGGCCCAGCCCTTAGTTAGTACTCATTACATATTAACAATTATGATCAAAAGCCTTTTATAAAAATGACCAGTTAAAACCTTTAAATATTAAAATACCATAGGAAGCCCTGGCCAGTGGCTCAGCGGTTAGAGCTTCAGGCCGCAAACCAAAGAATCGTGGGTTTGATTCCAGCCAAGGGCATGTACCTCGGGTGCAATTTGTCACCAGCCCTGGTCAGGGTCGTGAAGGAGGCAACCAATTCATGTGTCCCTCTCACATTGATATGTCTCTCTCTCTCTCTCTCTCTCTCTCTCTCTCTCTGTCTCTCTCGCTCTCTCTTTCTTTCTCCCCCCCTCACTCCCTCCCACTTTATCTGAAGATATTTGAGAAAATATCCTCCACTGAGGATTTAAAAAAATAAAATTAAAATACTGTAAAACACCACCAAGTATGGAATAAGGGTAAAAGTAACACTGCAACTAAGCAGAGGGAAGTCCTAATATTCTGTTGTTTTCTGCTGCGATTCCTTACAGCTTTTTAAAAAAGGATACTTTAATTCTGATTTTTTTTTATTTTTATCCTCACCCAAGGACATTTTTCCATTTTTTGTTCAGGTAGAGTGAGAGAGAGAGAGAGAGAAACATCGATGTGAAAGGAACAAATCGAGTGGCTGCCACCCGCACGACCAACCAGGGCCAGGGACAAACTGCAACTGAGGTACGTACCCTTAGCGGGAACCGAACCTGGGTCTATCTGGACCGCAGGCCAACGCTCTAACCGCTGAGCAAAACCGGCCAGGGCTGGGTTTTTTTTGCGCCCCTCTTTCCTAGAGGCGTAATTAGCACTGGTCATAATCTGTAAAACCGTGGAAAGCAGAGTTGACAACCCACACCCAGTAAAGTAAAGCTAAAGCAGGGGTAGCAAGACATGAGTGGCATGGGCCTGGTGCAGTCCATGAAATCTCCCATCTTTTGAAAGCTGGCAGCTACTTCAGTGGTCTTAAAAAAAACTGTGAGCCAGAGAAAAAAGATACAGGCCACCAGTTTGCATACTCTTGTGTACGAAGTTGTGATCTATACTGGGTAATGCATTCAGCAAATGTTTTTGAGCACCTGACTATTGCTAAGTGCTGGGATATAGGAGTGAAAACAGACACAAAAGTCCCTGCCCTCATAGAACTGACAGTTTGATCAGAGAGACAGACAATGAATAAGATAAATAACACAATTATAGGAGGTAAGGGCTGAGGAGAAATAAACAAGGCAAGGAAGGGTTTAGACAAGATGATCAGTAATGTCTTCACAGAGGTGACATTTGAGCAAAGATCTGAAGAAAATGAAAACATTGAGTCATGTGCATATCTGAGGTAGAGCATCTAGGCAGAGGGCCATTCAAAGGCCCTGAAGTGGATTCTTGGGTGTTCTTAAAGAGATCCAGGCAAAAGTGGGATGGATGTATATAAGACTTCAAAATCTTCTTCTTACCCTGGCCAGTTTGGCTCAGTGGTTGGAGCGTTGGCCTGCGGTCCCAAGAGAACCAGGTTTGGTTCCCGCTAAGGGCATGTACCTCAGTTGCAGTTTGTCCCTGGCCCTGGTTGGTCATGTGGGTGGCAGCCACTCGATGCGTCCCTTTCACGTCAATGTTTCTCTCTCTTCTTCTCTCTCCCTCCCACTCTATCTGAACAAAAAAAAAAAGGGAAAATGTCCTCGGGTGAGGATAAAAAATCTTGAACAGTGACAATTCAGGAATGGAGTGTGGGAGGGGTCTAAACTTGTTACTGGGTGCTAAAGCCCATGCCTTCGTGTATTTTGGGGGTAAATATCCTCAGATTCTCAAGAATTCCCTAACTCCAAGAACTACCATGGGTGCAGGGGACAGTTGATAATTGCTTGAGAACTTTCACAAAAGCAAATACCTACCTTCTTGCCTCCCCTCTCTCCCTGTAGGAATTGGGGTTTGGAATCCTGCCTTCGATGTCACCCCCCATGACCTCATTACTGGTGGCATCATCACAGAGCTAGGCGTCTTTGCCCCCAGTGAACTCCGGGCAGCCCTAAGCACCACCATCTCCTGAGAGTATGGACCCCAGAAGTAACCAACCTGGCCCTCCACACCCTGCCCCCATTCCCATAGGTTTTATAATAAAAGTTATTTGGGGCCTGCCCCAGAGCTGACGTTCTCCCAGCCGTACTTCTTCCTAGAACAGGGATAGCAGACAGGGTCTTTGCATGGCACTTAAAAGCCCAGCACCTGCAGCTAGGCTACCCAAGTTTATATCCCAGCTCTGCCACTTTTTCTGCTGTGTGATCTTGGCCAAGGCACTTAACCTCTCCATGCTTTGGTTTCCTCATTTATAACATGGGGACAATACTAGTACCACCCGCTTGGGTTGCTCTCAGGACTGGAACTAGGGTGACACCTTAGGTGCAAAATTTTTAAAGGGATACCACAAAGCTCAGTAACCAAGATAAGTAATAGATTCATGCAATATTTTTAAAAATCAAAATTAATGCAAAAAAATACGTGAAGAACAACAAAATACCAAGATATTAAATAGACTGGAACCCTACATTTGCACACCTTGACATTACCTCACCTCTGATACTAGACCTTATTCCAATAAAATTTTATTACATCAGGCCGCCAGTCTATAGGCAGTAGTTTAACGACTTGATTTTTTTAAATAGTAAAATATTATTTTTAAATGTTGAAGACACTGTCTTCATTACAGAATTTGGTGGACCCTTAAATTTTGCACCAGTAAGAGCCTAACTCACCTCATTTTTGTCTTAGACTGCGTTATATATATAAAGAGCATAAAACAGTATACAGTTTACAAAACAAATGTGCGCCCAGTAAAGATTGGCTTACTATAACCTATACTTAAAATTTTTCGTCAAACGCTATAATGTACCATCACCCTTATCCGGAATTCAACGCTTTGCGATATGGCTTCCCGTGAGCCCTTGCGTGCATCTGGCCCCACTGTATCCCGTCGTGCCTGCGTCTTCCGGTTAGGACTGCTGAGCCCCGCCTCTTCCTGCGTATATCCGATGATGGCGCAGGGACAGCGTAAGTTCCAGGCACAAAAGCCATCCAAGAGCAAGGCGATGGCGGTGCCCTCGGAGCGGAACCGGGGTCCGAAGAAGGGAGGTGAGGAGTGGTCTGGGGGCGGCTGGGCGAGGCGAGGCGGGCCTGGGGCTCCCTGGCCTCACGCGAGTGCATCATTCCCCAGGTCGTGTTATCGCCCCCAAGAAGGCACGCATTGTGCAACAGCGAAAGCTGAAGAAGGTGAGTTGTGGTGGGGCGAGGGTCGGAGCTTGGAGGTAGGCGCGAAAGAACAGAAGTGGAGCCTGGCACCAGGGGAGGTTGAAGCCTGGAGCCGGCCAGGTGCGAGGATAGAGCCTATAGAGGTCTGTGGAGGGAGGGATCCAGGGATAAAGTTTGGAACCGGAAGGGCCGGGGATGGAGCCGGGAGAACGCCCGACTCTCTGAGCCCCAGTTTCCTCCCGTGAGCTGTGTGTATAGGAACATTATTGTTCAAGGGACCTCGGGCCTCGTAGAAGCATGGCCTGGCGCGCAGAAAGTATTCTACTTTAATAGAACTCGGGAGGGGAGGTGGCGTTGGAAAGAGGTTGAAAATTCCAGCTTTGCAAGAATGCATTGCTGGGTGCAAATTGCAGTTCCATCAGTGACTAGTATTTGTTCACCGTAAGCCTTTTCACCTGTGAAACATAATAGTGATAGCACTTTTCTCCTAGCGTTGTAAGAATTCAATGCTATAGGGCACCTGTAAAGCGCTGAGAACAGAACAGGGCACAGATAAACATTAGTTACTTTGTTATTGTCATTTTTGTGGTTGTCTAAGTGCTGCTTTTTTTGTTGTTGTTAATCCTCACCCAAGGACATTTTTGCATTCATCTTGAGATAGAGTGGGAGAGATAGAGGGAGGGAGAGAGAGAGAGAAACATTTAATGGCTGCCACCCACTCAACCCCAACTAGGGCCGGGGACAAACTGCAACAGTCATATGTGCCCTTAGTGGGAACCGAACCCAGGACTCTCTTGTCCACAGGGCTGACACTCTAACCGCTGAGCCAAACCACCCAGGGCAAGTGCAGCTTTTTTATATGGGGGTAGGGTTGCATTTGTGAAGAAGTTACAGGAAATTAAAACTGGCTTTGGTGGAGTCAGATCTGACTTTGAATTGTATTCCACACTAACTAGTGTGTAACCTTTGAGACAGGACAGCACAAGTGGAATAGGGAAACTGAGACAGATAGGTGAACAAACTGTCAGAGCAATTTATAGCGGATACAGAAGATCGCCTCCCTATAAATAACATCTAGCTAGGCCTCAGTTGTATTTCAGCTCCAGACCCAGAAGAGTAGCAAAACCAGGAATGACAACACCAGGACCAGCTACATTAACAACCCCCTGCCCTGACACTAACCAATCAGTGAGGACCATGACCCTTAAGCACACCTAGAAAACACATGAATATTCTGTTTAAACCCTCCCCTGGGACCTCTCATATAATTCCTGCCTGCAAGAGAGAAATAAAAGCCCTCAAGACAAAGGACCCAGGGCACACTCTCCTTCCCAGGAGCATACCCATGCCCCCCCTTTTTGCCTCCCCCCCACACACACACACACAGCAGGCATGCATCTCCTAGACTCTAAGGGACTCTAGGAGGCTTACAACCAGAGCAGCAGTGGGCAGTGGCAGTTCATCCCAGGCAAACCCCCTGAACATGTCCCAGAGTCCCCCTTTTCTCAGACTACTTAGCCGAAGCATGCCAGCCTGGGCTCATTTCCCCAGTCCATCTTTGTTTCACCGTCCCCAGCTTTAATAAATGTTCTCTAAAATTCACCTAGACTCATATTGTGAAACTTCTGCACAAAGTCAAGAACCTACACACTACCTGCCCAGCCCTAGGCAGACCCATTCACGGCCAGGTCCCCTTTCTGGTAACACCTTGAGCAAATTGTTTAGTTTCCCCAGAGCCTCAGTTTTTCAGACCCAGTGGCTTACTTACCTCCATCTGATGGCAGGAGGGCACCTATCTCATGGACATCTCACACTTGGCATGACCAAAACCAAGCGCCAGATCCTCCCCAACATGATCTTGCCAGTCTTTTTTTTTTTTTTTTTTCTTTTCCTTTTCTTTATTGATTTGAGAGAGAGAGGAAGGGAGAGGGAGAGAGAAATAGAAACACTGATGAGCGAGAACATCGATTGGCCGCCGCCTCCATGTTCCCCACTGGGGATTTGGCCCACAACCTGGGCATGTGTCCCGACCAGGAATCAAACCAGCAACCTCTTGGTGCATGGGTTGACGCTCAGCCACTGAGCCACACTGGCCAGGCAATCCTGCCAGTCTTCAGGAAGATTCGTTTCTTCTAAATTTCAAAATATTCAGGGTCATCCTGGATCTCCCCCATACCTCCTTCGCAACCCCCTCTCCCATCCAGGTCAGATTCCATCCTTTTTGCCTTCATGGTTAATCTATAATCCACCCATTTTCCACTGCCCTGATCCACCTCATGATTTCCCACCTGGACCAGTTGCAGTCACTCCTTCCTGATCTGCCTCCCCCACATCCACCATAGCAACTAGAGGGCGCCTGTCAGCAGATCATGTACCTTCTCTGCTCAGAACCCTCCTGGCCCCTACCTCTCTCAGGAAAAACCCAAGTCCTCCACAAAGCCCTGCATGCTCTGCCCCTGTCACCTCCCTGCCCTCCACTCCTCCCATTCTCTCCCTGCTCCCTCCAACCTCACTGGCCCCTTAACTGCTCCTTGTCCTACCTCAACTTGGCACTAGCAGTTTCCTGTGTCCCAGTTCTCCCAGAAATCCACGTGGCTCCCTTCCTCTGAAGCAAGTCTGTCTGCAAGTATTGCTTCTGAGCCACCTGTTCCTGATGGCAGCCCCACCCCTCACTAGCCCTTGTTTTTTCTCCATAACACCACTTAAACATTTATCATCATTTAACAGTTTAACATAAGTATCATTGGCATTTATGTTGTCCTCACACATGCACTGAATGTCAGCCCTGGGAAGGTAGAGGTTTTTCCATCTTTTGCTGTTGTGTGTCTTGTGCCCAGGCATGTGGTGATGGTCGTGGCTGTCATGGTCAGTGGAGCTCATTTGACTGGGCAAGGAGGTGGTTTGGGGAATATGATTAAACTACCAGTTTTGGTCCTGGCCAGTTTGGCTCAGCAGTTAAAGCATCAGCCCTCGGACTAAAGGGTCTCATCTTCAATTCCCAGTCAAGGACAAGTACCTGGGCTGCAGGTTCAATCCCTTGCACTCGTCAAGGTCGTGCAGGAGGCAGCCAATTGATATCTCTCTCTCTCTCTCTCTCTCTCTCCCCCCTCCCCCCTTTCTATCCCCCTCCCTCCCTTCCACTCTATCTAAAAATCAACGGAAAAATATCCTCAAGTGAGAATTAACAACAACAAAAAATACCAGTTTTGGACCCAAACCCATGTGGCTTCTGATCCCTCTGCCTCTACTTGCTCACATCCCTGTCTCAGAGCCCCAGTTCACCATGTGCAAAGAGGAGATAACATGGGACAGGAGGAATTTCCCACCTGGAGGCTGAGACCAGAGGCTCTGGGCATGCCAGGATCCAGTCTCCCCTCATGTGGTTTGAGAACCCTGAACAACTGCCTCCTCACTTTAGGAGCCTCAATTTCCCCATCTGTGCAATGGGAGCAAGCAAAGTTTAGAAGCTGAGATCCAGAGATAAGGGGGGGGTGGGAGTGTGTGTGTGTGTGTGTGTGTGTAACACCACAAAGAGTGTGGGACAAAAGCAGGACTTAAACCACAGCTGCGAGACTCGGGTGCTGTTGCAGGGCTAATTACTGATCCAGCCTCCAGCCCTAGGTCAAGTTCTTCCTTGCTCCCTCCTAGTCTGATTGCCCTTTGGTTGCCCCCTCAGGACCTGGAGGTTGGGATCCGGAAAAAGATTGAGCATGATGTGGTGATGAAAGCCAGCACCAGCCTGCCCAAGAAGCTGGCTCTTCTGAAAGCCCCCGCCAAGAAGAAGTAAGCAGTCTCTTCCTCTTCCACCAAGACACCTTCCTAAGGACGCAGCCCCTGCCTCCATGCTCAGAAATCTTCAGGTGATTTCATGGGCAGCATCATGGACAAAAGGAGCCTTGCTCCCCAGAGCCTTGGGTTGCAGCTCCAAAGCGGAGGGGGAAGAGCTGGCCTGTGAGCGGGTGACCAGTACATCTGTAATGCATGGGTCAGCTGCCCGGGGTGCCAAGAACTCAGCAGTGACCCTGAGGAAATGTTCAACTTTCTGTATACCCCCCTCCTCCCCAATTTCTGTATCCACTGGTTTAACCCGGAGCAATAAACCTTGCTTTGTCATTCCTCCTGCAGTCACATGCTCCTGTGGGCAGGCCATTGCTGGGGCCATAGGCCAGGAGCTCTGACCCAGTCAGCCCCAGCAGTTTCTGCAGGAGACCAGCCATGTGCTCAGAGAAGGGTGATTGGGCTTCTGCACATACATCCTGGGAGCTTTTGGAGAGTCTTGACCTCCCTCCAACCACAGGTGACTCACACCAATCTTCTTAGTCATCTGCATGCCCTCCCCAGACATGCCCAAGTTACCACTCTGCCCTGGACAAGCCAGGAGGTGTAGGGAGCCATTTTCTCATCTGTAGAACAGGTGTTGACACCATCTTCATGGTGGTGATTAAACCAGAATGCACTTATGAACTGTTCAGAGCCACCTCTATCTATAAAAAAAAGTCTTAACATCTACTATGCCTATGGCTAGTGCTTTCTGCACATCACTTCATCCCAGGTTGGGTCGTGCTGTTAGCATTCCAGAGCCAGTACTTGAACCCACCACTGGCTGGATCTCAGTGTGTACTCTCAGTTGATCGTCTCCTGCCTCTCTTCCCACACCAAGATCTCTCCTGTTTCATCCTGAGTACCCCTTTCCCAGATCGTCACTTGAGTCTGCTAAACATCAAGAAGATGCCTGTGGAGTCTCCGGGAGGTCTGGCCTGGTGACCACCCATCCCTCCCTCTGATGGGGGTGAGGAGTAGGTCACAGCACAGTGACCAGCCAGGCTGGGCCCAGGGGAACTCCAAACTGGAAAGTCTCTCCAAGTTCAAGCTCTGCTGCCACAACTGGCAGTTTTTTGAGGTGTAAGTTTAGGGTTTTTGTGTGTATAAAATTGCTCTCCCTGCTTTTGTGTATATGTGTGTGGTTAAAACTCACATGTAAAATTGACATTTGAAAGTATACAATTCAGGCCCTGGCCAGGTGCCTCAGTTGGTTAGAGCATCTTTCCAATACACCAAGGTTGTGGGATCGACCCCTGGTCATGGCATGTACAAGAATCAACCAGCCCTGGCCAGTTTGGCTCAGCGGTTAGAGCGTCGGCCTGCGGTCCAGAGAGACTTGGGTTCGGTTCCCGCTAAGGGCACGTACTTCGATTGCAGTTTGTCCCCGGCCCTGGTTGGTCGTGCAGGTGGCAGCCACTCGATGTGTCCCTTCACGTCAATGTTTCTCTCTCTCTCTCCCTTCCACTCTCTCCCTCCCACTCTAGCTGTACAAAAAATGGAAAAATATCCTCGGGTGAGGATAAAAAAAAAAAAAAAGAATCAACCAATGAATGTATAAATAAGTGGAACAACAAATCCATGTTTCTCTCCCTCCTTTTCTCTAAAATCAATTTTTTAGCCCTGACTGGTTTGGCTCAGTGGTACAGCTTCAGCCTGAGGACCAATGAGTCACAGGTTTGATTCCAGCCAAGGGCACATACTTCGGTTGCAATTCATCCGTGGTCCTGGTCAGGTTCTTGCAGGAAGCAACCAGTCCATATGTCTCTCTCACACTGAGGTGAGGATTAAGAAAAAAAAAGTTTTTAAAAAATTAAATTTTTAAAAAATGGAATAATCTTTTTTAAAAACTATGTTATTCAGTGGCATTTTCTACATTCACAATGTTTGCAACTACCTAAAACTTATCACCCAAAAGATGACCCATCCCCAGTAGCTTTCATTCCCCATACCCCATCCCCACAGTCCCTGGCAACCACTGACCTGCTGTCTCTATGTACTTGTTGAAGGAAGGAAGGAATTGTTTTTGCAAAGAAAATTTTGCAGTTTCAGTGACTCAGTTACCATCCCTCCAAGCATCATCTCTATATAACACACCTACCAGGGCTGTTTGAGTCATGGTGTTAGCATTTTCTTTGAAGGATTTTACAGCTCTAAATTGTAAGCAGCTGATGGCAATTCCAAACCATTCTTATCTGTAGACTTGCAGATGCCAGAGGTTCCACTGACAACCCTCCTCCCCAGAGGTAAAATCAATTTGCCTCCATATGTATATAACATCTGCCTGGATCCCACATGAATTCAATAAAGCATTTAACATGTGTTCATTTTTATATGTCTGAAGAGTAGATTTTACCCTCTTGAAAATTATCTCTGACGGGCAATGGCTGGGACAGGATAAGCTGTGGGTGCATGAAATTGCTCTCTTCCAGCTCTGTCATAGGAAGGTTCCTCGTACCTCAAGCTCCAGTCAATCCCAGTGGCAGTGCCTAACAGACCAGGGACTCTGGTAAACCTGCTTCCTTTGTCCCTCAGATGCCTACCCTTGAGTGGGACCCCAGGGGCATGGCATGTCATTCAGGTGTAACAGGTATGGGATCTGGAATGTCAACCCACCTGTTCCCCTATTACCCTACCCCCTCCAGTTCCCCAAACGGCCACATTTTTCCCTGCAGCCACTGCCCTGCAGGACTTTTCCTTGGATCCTTTAACCTGCCTTCAAAGCCCCCATTAATGTCAGGAGCCCCAAACTTTGAAAAACCCCACACCTGTGCCAGCTTCTGCCACTTCCTATCTGTGACCAAGTCCCTTCACCTCTGAGCCTGTTGCCCTGTCTATTAAATGGGATCCTAACACCCTTCCCTCAAATGAAGAATTCAGGAATCTTAAGGCCCAGGGACTTACAGTTATGATTATGAGCTGACCTTGTGTCCTGGGGGAGGGGGGGGGCAGGAGGGAGCCCAAGTCCCACCTCTAGGCCTCTGCCTGTCCTGGCCCTGTCCCCCAGGGACAGGGCAGCCATTAAATGTGGCTTTTCAGACACAATTATTCCTCCCCAAGCTTTTTGCTCCTGCCTCCACCTTCCCCCTCTGCCTGAATGACCATTTTTCCTGGCAGGGTCCTGACACTGCTCATGAACTTATGTTCCAAAAGGAAAGAAAAAAATGTAAGAAATCTTGCCAGCTGGGCAGGCCAGAGGGGCTGTGGGGACCAGGAAGTGAAACTGCCCCGGCTGGTTTCCTGCCTGAGTCAACAAGGGCATGGGGGTGCTGCAGGGGACTGGCAGAGGGAAGGATCCTCTGAAAATTAGGGTGGGGATAGCCACAGCTGGGGACCATGTTCCCCCCTCATCTGAGTCTCCAGGGTTGCCCCATTTCCTGTGGGTCTCCAGGACACGTGGGTTTGGGATCAGGAGCTGTGGATGCCTAGACAGTGAGCTCACAGCTGCTGGCAGGAAAAAAGTGGCTTCTATTTCACTGAAGCCCAGCTCACTGGCTGCACTGGGAAAGGGAACCACAAGGATAGCTGGAACCCACCTCTCCACTTCTTTCCTAAAAATGTTTCTAGGAAGAGGGCAAACTTGAAATAGGTCTAGTGACTTCCTTCTGGGGGCACCTCCACCTTCCCAAGGGCCTTTCTGACCTCACACATTCTCCCGGGATCACTGTGTGGCCTTGAGCGACTTTCTGACCTTCTCTGAGCCTTATTCCTCTTATCTATAAAATCCAGGGATCAGAATAGAATCTTGGTGTATCCCAAACAGTGCATTTGATCACCAGTCAATGTGACATGACCAACCCACCCAACCAGGCTTGAATCCTGGCCCTACTCTTTCCTGCTGTGGACTTTGGGCAAGTCACCTGACCTTTCTGTGCTTCAGTTTTCTCATCCAGGAGATGGGATAATGATTATATTAGTACCTATTGTTAGAGATAAGATAAAACATCTTTACCCTGTGAAAACAGATTCTCAGTTCCTCCTAAACATCCTCTCTTCCACTGGCAGGGAGTGACTTCTCTGATTCAGCATCTTGGGATACCCACTGAAGCATTCTCAGGGAGGGGAGAGGGACCTAAGCTTAGCTGAAGGAGGCAGCCAGGAAAAGCTGGACTCTGGGTCCTGTTTTTGAGGGGAGCACCTGAAACATGATTTGTGGAAGTCCTCCCTTCCTCTCCCCCACCTCAGTTACTCCTTCCCCATGGGTCTCTCTCTTTTTCAAATACTTTGCAAGAAAGGATGCTCCAATAAGTCTATATTCCCAGGTCTTCCCAGTCTGGGTGAGCTCAGGCAAGGACTCCACCTCTCCAAGCCTCCATTACTTCATCTGAGAAATGGAGACAACCATCCCCACTTTGCAGCTCTGTTGGAAGGCTTAAACGTGGTAATGTATCTGAACAGCTAGAGCAGTCACTATTACTATTGTTTCTGTTATTGTGGTGGGCTGTGGTTTCTCAAGACCACAGCTATCTAATTAATAGAAATTACAATGCAAGTTGCATGTATAACTTTAAATGTCCTGATACCACATAGAACAGAATAGAATGGAATAAAAAAGGGAATAATAAAATGAAATAGGTAGAATTAATTTTAATAATGTATTTTATTTAACTCATTTATCTAAAATATTATTTAACATCTAATCAATATAAAAAATTCTTTTTTGTTGTTTTGTTGTTGTTACTCCTCACCCGAGGATATTTTTCCAATTGACTTTTAGAGAGAGTGGAAGGGAGGAGGGAGAGGGGAAGAGAGAGAAACATCTATGAGAGAGGACACATCAATTGGTTGCCTCCTGCATGCGCCCTGACCAAGACTGGGGATTGAACCTGCAACACAGGTACATACCCTTGACCAGAAATTAAACCCAAGACCATTTGGTCTGAGGGCCAGTGCTCTAACCACTTAGCAACAACAGCCAGGGCAATATAAAAAATTCTTAATGAAAACTTTACCCCTTTTTTCCTACTAAGTCTTCAAAACCCACTCTGTGTTTTATAGCACAGCCCAATAGAGGACAGCTGCATTTCAAGGACTCAAAGGCCACTTGTGGCCAGTGGTGACCATATGGGACAGTGCAGGTTAGAGGGAGTTTACTGAATTGTGGGTTGGGGACTGGCCAGAAAGTGCCACTGTGAAACTGGAAATTCCTGGAAGGTAAAAGCCAGTGTTTCCATATGAGGAGGGGCAGCAATGAGGCCACTTAGAGGCCAGCTTGGGTTTTTCCTATTCTGTAGATCATTTCAACAGAATGGGAGCAAAGCATGAGTGGTTCACTCAACCAGTTATAGATTGAGTGACTGCTGTATGCCTGGTGCTGTTCAGGTGCTGGTAAAAAAGCAGTGCCCCTATTAGTTTCTTGGGGCTCAACGGTGGAGAGGGAGAAACAAATTAAACAACTGCTGAACTAAAAATATGTAAAGATAATGGAAAGAGGTGTAGCGAAGGGAAAATGCAGGATTCTCTAAGGACAAGAGATCAGGGGTGGATAAAGACCACGGCCAACTTCCAGGCCAAAGATGTGGCCTGGAAAATTGGTCAGAAAAAATAACCACATGTGGTCATATTTGACAATATTACGTCAAACCTCATGAAATTGCCATTTTAATAGGTCATAAATTGTGGAAAATCAGCAATTTCCTATGACGCAACGACATATTTACGGCATAAAATGGATTGGGGCTGCCTAGCTTGGGACTCAAAGATGGGCTTGAATTGGGCCCTATTTCTGGAGAGGAGGTCCGCAGCCCCCAAGAGCACTGCCAAAGGGCCAGTGATCTCCCCATCCCACAACGCATCAAAACGACCCGGCGCCCAGAGGCTGAGAGTTTCTCGCGTCGCACAGACCAGAGGAAGGAGAGGCTGAGCTGCTGCCGGGGATCCCGCCGTTCTGTCTCGTTCCCGGGCCAAGCCATGTTGATTGTCCCCTTGCGGCGCCCGGAAGCGACCCTCAATAAACAAAGCCGTATGTGGGCGCAGTTCCAGCTGCCCAGGGCGCGCTGTCCAACCCGAGGGGGGGCGGGGGAGGAATGTTGTGAATGAACCCAAGGCCCGCCCCGAAACTCCACAGAATGCCAGCGCCGCGGAAGTCTTCCCACTCTGATTGGCCTCTGGCGCCCCCTGATTGACAGCGCCTCTCGCTGAACGCTCTTATTGGACAGCTCCAGAAAGACAGGCAAGGCATATAACGAATGAGCAGTGGAGACCTGGAGACGGGTCTGGCCGTACCGCCAATAGCAGAGGAGGGCCTCGGAGGCCTACGGGGGGGCCAATTGGGACGGGCGGCGGGGGCGGGACGAGGCGGAGGATAAAGCGGCGGCCGAAGCAGCTTCATTGTTGTGAAGAGTCTTAAAGGGGCCGCATCACCCGGCCGGCCGGGCGCGGGGCGGGGGTGGGAGCAGCGGGGGTCCGGGCGCGGCCCATCGTGGAGGAAAGACTGGAAGGCGAGTAGGGGTCGCGGGAGCCGGCGAAGCGGAGCGGGCATCGGACCAACCCCCACACACAACAGGCCCCGCCCCGGCCCCGGCCCCGGCCCCGGCCGATGGACGCCCCCGCGGCCAAGCGGAGTCGGAGCTGCCCCGCGGGACCGGAGGAGCGCGATGCCGGGGCCGGGGCCGTGCGCGGCCGGGGCCGACCCGAGGCGCTGCTGGACCTCAGCGCCAAGCGAGTAGCCGAGAGCTGGGCCTTCGAGCAGGTGACCGAGGGCGTGGGGAGGGACGCACCCCCAACCCCTTTCTCGATAGGCCTTCTCCTCCCCCCGGCCCAGCCCCCTGCCTCCGAACCTGCCCTCATCGGAGAGAAATCTCCACGATCCTTAACCCTGCCCGGAGGCACCTCCTTATCTTCCCATTTCACTCCTTCAAACCTCATGACCCACCCTCATCCCTTCCCCACCAGCCCTGCCCTCCAGCCCACTAGATCCAGGGATGCCCCAGCGCCCTAGATCCCAATTCTTGACACTTCCTTCTCCTTCCCATGGCCCTCTCACAACCGTGGGTACCCCCCTCTTCCCCTCCCATCCCCCATTAGGGCACCCCATTCAACCCTCTCTCTAACTCCTACAAGCTACCCGCATCGGGGACACCCCAGGGTACAGCTGCTAGAGACCCACACTCCCCTATTCTAGATCTCCGCCCTACACCCCCAGAAGAAGACTCCCCCATTTCTGCAGATCTCAGCCTAAGACACTCCTTTATGCTTTCCCAGCCTCCAGAATCCACCTGTCCCATGGGGACCCCCCCTCCTCCAGATTCTTCCCTCAGGTCCTGTCCCCCACTCCCACCCCCAGTACTTCTGGGACCACCTCCCACCTGGGGCTGCCCAGCCCCTCCTGATGGGCTGCAGGGATTTCTCCAATTTCATGCCTCCCCCGCAAGTCCCCTATTACACACCCTTCTCTCTTCCGGAGGAAGGCAGCAGGGTCGGGATATGTGTCCTGATGGTACCTGAACAGGTGCATCTGGAATCCCACCTTTATGGCTTCTGGGGTTCTGACAGGATACCCCAGGGCTGGGGTCCTGGATGTCCCCTTTTCTAGCCTTAGTGTGGGTGCCTCAGGAGCTGGCCCAGACCTGAGCAAACCTTATGCACTCCCACAGGCTCTGCCTGGCTTTGAGGGGGCATTCTTTGCCCCTGACCTCTCCAGAGCCTGCTGGGACTGATAGGGCTGGGCGAAGTGTGGATGGAGCAGGTTCAGGTTCATGGCCTGGAAAATCCCTCCTTAGTCATTTGCCAACTGTCTCTGAGGCCTGGGCCAGTCACTGGCCCTCCCTCTTCCCCCTGAAACCCAGATTTGGAGGCTCTGGAGGGTCCCTGCCCCTTCATTGTGTGTGAGATGCCCAGAATAATCCTAAAACCATTTTCAGGACTCCCATGTACCTGCTCTGGCCAGGCTGGGCACTAGAAAAGCTCTTGCCTCATAAAAGCTCACAGAATCTTCTGCAACCCTTTGGGAGTTGTGGTTTTCCTTCCCACTCTGAGGAAACTGGGGCACAGAGAGGTTGAGAAACTTGCCCAAGGTCACCAGCCAGTGAGTAGCAAGCTCAGATTGGAACGCAGACTCAACCAGCTCAGTTCATTGCCCAGAGTGCATGGGGGTTGCTAGGACACCCCTCCCTTCCTGGGGGCCCTTGGAAGCTGAGAACAGAGTCTTTGTTGGGAATTGGAGCTCACCATCTTGGGACTCTGAACAAGTAAATTCACTCCACATCTGAGCCTAAGATTACCCAGGCTGTTAAAAGTGATTAATATCATTGGAATTTTGCTGTGAAAATTAAGGGAAATTGCATATAGAGTATTTAGCATAGTATAGATTGAGAAAATATAGGCCTGGTCGCTATTCTTATAACATTTATCTTTCTCCTACCCCCTCAAAGCCTAGGAGGCAACACTGTCTTACATCAGGACCCTAGGACCTGATATCCAGGAGGAAAGCAGCAGAAAGTTCTAGAACACTATGGGACAGATGTTATTACAAGTAATTTATGTAGATTAATGCATATTTAATTGTCACAGTACCCACGAGGCCTGTGCTGTTAACATCCACATCACACTTGAGAAAACTGAATCTCAGAGAGGCAAAGTGATTGTCCAAGGTCATACAGCTTATAAGTGTCAAAGCCAGAACTCAAGCTGGGGTTCTAACCCACCAGCCTTTCCTTCAGGTCGAGGAGCGTTTCTCCCGGGTGCCCGAGCCGGTCCAAAAGCGCATTGTGTTCTGGTCGTTTCCACGCAGCGAACGGGAGATATGTATGTACTCATCCCTGGGCTACCAGCCTCCAGAGGGCGAGCACGACACCCGGGTGCCCTTCACCCGAGGGCTGCACCTGCTGCAGAGCGGGGCCGTAGACCGCGTGCTCCAAGTAGGTAAGTACCCCTGCCAGAGAGGCCAGGAGGCCCAGAGAAGGCATGGAGGAGGGAGACGGGGAGGGAGGCCTGGGCCAGGGAGATGATCCAAATCTCTGGGGAAGGTTGGACAAGATATTGTGAACTAAAAAGCAGAAATCTGCCTAGACCTCTGGCAGCGGGCTTAGATGAGGGGTCAGGGGAAGGATGTTGCTCCAGCTCAGACAGAATTTAGGGGTGGGGAACCTTTTTTCTGCCAAGAACCATTTGGATATTTATAACATCATTCCTGGGCCATACAAAATTATCAACTTAAAAATTAGCATGCTAGCCAACTTGTGTGTCTCAGTGGATTGAGCATGGACCCATGGACTGAGATGTCTTGGTTCGATTCCTGGTCAGGGCACATGCCCGGGTTGTGGGCTCGATCCCCAGTAAGAGGTGTGCAGGAGGCAGCCAATCGGTGTTTCTCTCTCACATCGATGTTTCTATCTCTCTCTCCCTTCCTCTCACTCTAAAAAGTGAATAAAAACATATATTTTTTAAATTAGCCTACTAACCAATCAATGTGTCTCTCTCACATCTATGTTTCTCTCTCTCTCTCTCCCACTCTGTCTGAAAATAAATGGAGAGTATCCTCAGGTGAGAATTCAAAAAAACAAAAACAAAAATATTAGCCTACTATATTTGGTCAGGCTAATTTGGTGAGGCATGTGATGTTAGCTGCTATTGATTTCACAGGCCTTACAGAGCCCATGGGCTGGATGTTCCCCACCCCTGGTTGGAGGGTGGGGGGAGAGGTGGTAAGATTGGGAGGAAGGCAGGACCGAGGCAGCACTGAGGAGAATTTGTAAGCCGGAAATGAGAGGAGGTTCCATACCTCAGGTAGAGAGACCCAGTGATGCACTGGGACTGAGGTCTCATAGAGCCAGAGGCAAGAATGATACTAGGCCTCGGGCAGAGAGACTCAGGTGGAGGTTGGGATCAGAACTAGGGCAACGAGGCTTAGGTGGGAGTCTAAGGCAAAAGTTTAGGATCAGCTGTGAGGGGTGGTCTTACACCTCAGGTAGCGAGTCAAGTGGAGGGGAAGGGAGGTGGCAGAGCTTTGGAGCTAGGGGTGAGAGATGATTCTAGACCTCAGGTAGTGGGGCTCAGAAGGGAACCAGTAGAGGTTAAGCCAGAAAACAGGTGAGCCCTGGAACACCACACCTCCATGGGGGCAGGTCACGTCTCCCAGCTGGAGGCAGGGGCTTGACCATGACCCTCCCTAAACCTTCTCAGCCTGGGGGCCCCCTTGCCTGGACATGGCCCAGCTGGCCACAGGCTCAGCCACCTCCAGCCGGTATGAGGAAGCTGCTGTCTCCCTGCATGACGCAGCCAGGGCCGGCTGGGGCCTGAGCTGCCCAACCAGTCTGATGAGCCTGGCATCTGGGCTCCCCAGGGGCCAGGGAGGGACAGGGGGTGATGGGGTGACCTGGCCTGCCACATCTGCCCCTTGCTCCCAAGTGTCACAAGCCTTTGGCATTTTTCCAGGAAGTTACAGGGCATCTGGACCCTGGGCTGTATCCATGGTAACCAAAGGACTGAGAAAACCATCTTTAATATCATCTCTACAGTAACATTTATACTTGCATTTATTTAGGACTTACTGTATACCAACAGTGTTCTAAGTCCTTGCCAACTGTTAACTCATTTAATCCTCATGACAGCTATATGGAAGAGAATGTTATTGTTTATTCTCATTTGACAGGTGAGGAAACTGAGGCACAGAGAGGTTAAGTGACTTGCTCTAGGTTACTCAGCTGACATTTGCACCCGGTCTTGCTGTGTGCCATGGATGAGCAACCCTTGCCCCTGGGGTGACAGTGGTGATGGTTTGGTTTTTGTCTTAGGGTTCCACCTAAGTGGTAACATCCGGGAGCCAGGGGGCCCCGGAGAGCCTGAGCGCCTCTACCACGTCTCCATCAGCTTTGACCGCTGTAAGATCACATCTGTGAGTTGTGGCTGTGACAATCGCGACCTCTTCTACTGTGCTCATGTGGTGGCCCTGTCACTGTACCGAATTCGGCATGCCTATCAAGTGGAGCTGCGACTGCCCATCTCCGAGACACTCTCCCAGATGAACCGGGACCAGCTTCAGAAGTTCGTGCAGTATCTCATCAGTGCCCACCACACTGAGGTGCTACCCACTGCCCAGCGCTTGGCTGACGAGATCCTCCTCCTAGGCTCCGAAATCAACCTGGTGCACGGTAAGGGTGCCTTGGGGTCTGATGGGCTTTGAGAGGGTTGAGGTACACTGATGGTAGTGGACAGATGAAGTTGGTGGAGAATTGGAAGGACTAGTGGGTGCGTGGATTAGGGGTAAACTGACGGAAGCATGGGATATTCGTATGTGTGGACTAATGTGGTGGATGGCTCAAGTGGGGATGGACTCAGGGTGATGAGTGTTTGAGGAGATACATATGAATGGATGGTTTGATGGGAGAAGAATAGATAGAAAGCTGGGGTTCGTTGGATGGGTGGAGAGTGCAGCTGTGTGGGTCTGGATATTGGGAGTGGTTGGTACAGATGAGTTGGAAAGACAGCTAGGAGTAGATAGCTGGATGGATGGAACAATGGGATGGGTATAGATAGGGGAGCCAGTGGAAGTTATGGGTAAGTTGGATCCTTGACTAATGGGGTAGGTAGATATGCTAAGGGTTATAGATGTGTGGATGGATAGATACATGGCAGACAATGGGGGTAGACAGGTGAGTAGTTTGGATGTGCATAGGTAGATGATGTTTTGGGTGGCATGGATGGACCACCATTTCACCTGAATGGATGAATGGATGGGGGGAATGGGTGGGTGGTGTTGAGATAGATGGATGTGCAGATTGGTGTTTCAGTTAAGATGGATGAATAAGTAAATGAATGAATGATGTTTGGGTGGGATGGATGGATGACAGGCATTTTAGAGGAGATGATGGTCAGACAGACAGATGAATGGATAGCTGGGTGATTTTTCAGGTGGGTTGAATGGATGATGAATGGAACTTTGGGATGGAGGACTGAATGATGGCAGGGGCAAAGGCACCCTCTCCCCAATCCCAGCCTCAGCTTTCCTCCCCACCCCACAGGTGCCCCAGACCCCACGGCAGGTGCAGGCATTGAGGATGCCAACTGCTGGCACCTGGACGAGGAGCAGATCCAGGAGCAGGTGAAGCAGCTGCTGTCCAACGGTGGCTACTACGGCGCCAGCCAGCAGCTGCGCTCTATGTTCAGCAAGGTGCTGAGAGGGCATAGTGTACGCAGTAGGGCTGCAGTGGGGCTGGGAGACACTGGTGCCAGTGCCCCTCCCCTTCCTCACCAGCTCATCCCCATGCAGGTGCGGGAGATGCTGCGAATGCGGGACTCCAACGGGGCGCGCATGCTGATCCTCATGACTGAGCAGTTTCTGCAGGACCCTCGCCTGGCCCTGTGGCGGCAGCAGGGTGCTGGCATGACAGACAAGTGCCGGCAGCTGTGGGACGAGCTGGGTAAGGCCCAGATCTAAAGTGGGGCAGGCACCAGGGCTTTGGTGTTAGGTCTCTTGCCCCCCGCCCCAAGATTGAGGTCCGGCCCCTGAGTCCTTCCTCCATTCATTAGCACCTCCAATGTCTAGGGCACTCACTGTACTGATGGCTGGAGCTACAGCAAGAAATGGATTAAGTCCCTGCCCTCCTGGTAGGGGAGACAGATGAGAACATAGTACAAACCTATCAGACCAGGGATTGACACACCTTTTTCATAAGGACTAGACAGTCAATAGTTTCAGCTTTGCAGGCCATTTGGTCTCTGTAGTAACTCCTCAATTTTGCCCATTGTGGCAGAAAAGCAACCACAAACATACATAACTGAATGGGAGTGGCAGAATTCCCATGAAACTGTATTTACGGACACTATTTATTTGAATTTCACGTAATTTCAAGTCACAAAATATTCTTTTGATTCCCCACCCCCACCACCATTTAAAAATGTAAAAATAAATCTTATCTCGCAGACTGCTGAAAAACAGCAGGGATGGATTTTCTCCAGGGACAGTTGTTTGCTGACCCCTGTGATCGATGCTGACAAGCACTTTGGGGTGGGGGGTAGTGAGAGGAGTCTGCAGGCCTGGGTTTGAATCCTTCCAACTTCCCAGCTGTGTGACCTTAAGCCAGTGACTTAACCTCTCTCTGTCTCAGTTTTCTTACCTATAAAGTGAAAATATCATTAGTTGTAACCTCAGAGGCCTAAAGTGAGGGAGAAACAGAAAGTAGTGCCTAGCACACAGTAGGCACTCCATAAATGTGTGTTGCTACTGTTGGCATGATGTTGAACCTCCCCCAAGCCCCGTGCTGCTACTGTTGACATGATGTTGAACCTCCCCCATGCCAGGGGCCCTGTGGGTGTGTGTAGTCCTGAGCCCCCACTGTAAACCAGAGGAGCAGGCGAGCTGGCTGCAGCTGCTTGGCAAGTGGGACAAACTGGACGTGTGCCCACTGGAAGAGGGCAACTACTCTTTCAACGGGCCCAGCCTGCAGCCCACCACAGCCCTCAGCCCAGGTAGGAGAGGGGTCCTCTGCCGGTGCCCTACCTCCCCATCATGGTGCTCTGGGGGAGAGGGATGGGGATCCCACCCCTTGCCTGTTCTCCCCTACAGAACGGAGAGAGTGCCCAGAGCAGGGCAGTGGGTAGCCCAAGGGACAGTAAGTGAAATGCCTAAGACATCTGTAGCTTTGGGCTGGTTTCCTATTTTAGCCTCTTGGCAATGGAGGCGGGAGTGGGAGGAACAGAGGGAAAAGGAAAGAAAGATACTGAAAAGAAAGGCAGAGATTAAAGGAAACAGGAGGAGAGAGAGGAAGGGGGGTGGGGAGAGATAAAGAGAAGAAAGAGGAATGAAAGTAGGGGATAGAAAGATGGACAGAGAGATAGTTATTCAACTTCCGTGTCCAACACACACACACACTCACACTTGCACCTTTGAAAGACCGCTGTAAGGATTTGCGATAACACATTTCCATCGATGCACCCAGAGTCTAGCCCTAAGCTGGCACTCAGTTCGGAAAACTGGCCATGGCCCAGCTGGTGTGCCATGTTGGACACCTCTTCTGCAGGCCCAGAGGAGGAGGATGTGGTGACTGCAGGTTCCCGCCACACCGTGTTTGGCCGCGCCCTGCAGGCTGGGTCACTGCATTGGAGTGACACCCACCTGCAGAGGATCCTGGCCAGCGACTGCTATGGCCCCAGCCTCACAGGCCACGTGGGCAGCGACAAGGCAACCTTTGACTCCCAGGGCCGCCCCCTCTGGCTGGGGGAGCCATTCCCCACTGCTTGTGCCCGTGTGGACACCCTGCGTGCCCATGGATACCCCCGCCAGGCTCTGCGGCTGGCAGGAGCCATAGTCAATACACTCCGGCTACAGCGGCGGCATCAGCTTGAGAGCTACAAGCAGCAGAAAAAAGGTGGGCATCAATATAGTTATCAGGGCCTGGGGCTGCAGTCACAGTTGCTGGGGGCTATGGTGACCCAGGTGGTCAGTGGGTACCACTTAAGTTCCCACAGGGAAAACCAAACCATTCTAGGTGTCTTGAGCATACAGGCATTTAAATTTTTTAATTTTTTTCTTTATTGATTTTAGAGAGGAAGGGAGAGAGAGAAACATCAGTGAGAGAGAACATCAATTGGCTACCTCCTGCATACGCCCCACTGGGGATTTGGCCCACAACCTGGGCATGTACCCTGACTGGGAATTGAACCGGTGACCTCTTGGTGCATGGATTGATGCTCAACCACTGACCCACACTGGCCAGGCCATACAGGCATTTAATACAAGGGGTTGAGGGCTCAAAGCCACTGGAAGGGCTGTAGGATTAAAAGTCAGGGAAGCACCCTGGCCAGTTTCTCAGTGCTTAGAGCATCAGCCTGCAGACCAGTCTCGGGTTCAATTCTGGTCAGGGGCACCTACCTTGGTTGCAATTTGGTCCCTGGCTCTGGGTGGGGCCATGTGGGAGACAACCAATCAATGTTTCTTTCTCTCTCTTTCTCTGCCTCCCTCCCTTCTTCCCACTCTATCTATCTGAAGATAAAGGGGAAAATATCTCCCTGTGAGGATTTTTTTAAAAAGGCCAGGAAAGCTGCTGTTTGAGTTCAAGAATTTGAATTTCGGAAGCACGTTAAGCCCAGCAGCCTACAGTCTTCATAGCGGGCGGTTCCCAAGAGAACACCCAGAAGCTGCTGGTTGGGTTTGAGAGAGGCAGGTGGGATTATGGATTATGAGGAGGAATGACACTGGTTGGAGGTTTTAGAAAGTGCCCAGTTCCCTTCAGGCATCCTTCCAGGCCTGGGAGTGGCTGTGGAGTAGGAAGCCAGAGGGCTGTAGAGGTGAGAACTGCTGCAGAACTCCAGGGGCAGAGAAGATGACCACTGGGTGGGCAGATGGTGGGCAGGCACCGGGAGGCTGGGCTGGAGTTCAGAGTGAGGAAGCCCCCCCAGGGGCTTAGGATGATGGGTGGACATTCCGGCCTGCAGAGCTGCTACAGAAAGGCTCCACGTGCATTACCAACACGGAAGGATGGGTAGGCCACCCCCTGGACCCCATTGGCTGCCTCTGCAGGGCGCTCCTGGAGGCCTGTCGCCTGGAGGAAGAGACCCTCGCCCTTTACCCAGGTACTCACTGGGGATCTCTGGAGGAGAGGCAATCCGCATCTCCCTGGTTAAACCCTCTGGCTCAGTACTCCTAGAGAGCAAGACTACACCCTTACCCTTATCCTTACCCCATCCTCCTCGTGGCCTCTCCACAGTGCTAGGAGCCAATAGGCTTAGCCTCTGAAAATGAAGCCACTATAGGCCTATCTGCTGCTTGAAGATGGCCCTCGCCCCCTGGTCAGTGCTGGGAGCAGCTGGACTCCCCCTGTACCATATACTCTCAGTCTGTATGCCTGGGGTCAAGGGCCATTGGGGTTCCAGAAAAGGGGTCCCCCTCTAGCATCTATGGTGCCGGTCTCCCACAGACTCCGGCCCCGAGAAGCGGAAGGTGGCCTACCAGCACGTGCAGGTGCCCGGGAGCCCTGGGGAGTCCTACTTGGCACTGGCGCTGGAGGTGGCACTGCTGGGCCTGGGACAGCAGCGAGCCCTGCCTGAGGGGCTGTATGCCCAGGACAAGGTGGTTCGCAATGAGGAGCAACTGTTGGCTCTGCTGGAGGAGGTGGAGCTGGATGAGCGGCTGGTTCAAGTGCTGCGCAAGCAGGCTGGGCTGCTCCTGGATGGTGAGGCCCTGCCCCTAGGCCTGGCTGTTCAGAAGTTAGGGTTTTACCCCTGGCCTCAGCTTGTCAGGTTGTTGCTGGATTGGGAGGCTCCACCCCTAGCTGGCTCTTTTGGTCCTTACCTTAGCATTTCCTAAAAGGTAAGATCCAGCCCTTGGTCTTGCGCCCTAGCATGTTCTGGCAGTCAGTAACTGCCGCAAGTGATGAGGTCCCGCCCCCTGCCTCCCTTGGGGTCCATAAGCCAAGTCACTGATGCCCAGCTGGACTTGACTGGTTCTGTCCCTTGGTCCTGCCTTTTGAGACCCCGCCCCCTACTACTGTGAAGAGCTAGCTTGGCCCCACCCCTAATCAGGTACAGCCCCACCTCCACCCTCTGTCCTCACCCTGCATCTGAGTCCTGTCCCCACACCCAGGGGTATCCAGGGTTTCCTCTTTTGGAATTTCCCAGGGCTTTTCTGTCTCAGCACTGTGCCCCCCTGCCCAGGACTTCTCCAGTCCCTAGTCCCAGCCACTCTATCCTGGGGTCTACCCATCCCCTGCGCAGCCTGGGGTCTGGAGAGATCTGGGGAGATGCAGAAATGCAGAAGTGAGCCCATACCTGGGGGCTGAGCTCAGGCTGCCCCTGCAGGGGGTCCCTCCAGTGGCTTTGGAGAGGTGCTGTTCCGGGAGAGTGTGCCAATGCACACCTGTGCTCGATACCTGTTCACCGCACTGCTACCCCACGACCCTGACCTGGCCTACCGCCTGGCGCTGAGAGCCATGAGGTAAGGACAGGCAGAGAGCTGGAGACTCTGCCCAGGGGCCAGGCAGGACTGGGGAATGGGAGGTGCCCGCACAGCCCCCTCCTCCCCACTGAACTCACAGCCTTGGTATTTCAATCTCCCTCATGCTGGCACTGCAGGCTGCCTGTGCTCTTCACTATTAAGTATAAGTGTATAATATTATTTTGAATTTGAGAGACATTCACATGGCACAAAATTCAGAGTACTTTTCTAGCCCAATTTGCCCCAACGTACCTACATCTCTCTGGAGGCAAGGAGTATTCCCACTTTTTTATCAAGAGTTGAGATTTCTGCAAATCCTCAATCTGGAAATTGAAATGTGGTCCCCCTTTTACACCAAGGCATATTCTGTACCTATTCTTTGCCCTTGTTTTCACTGAGCATTGTATTGTAAAGGCTTAGTTGTAACACATAGTACATGAACCACTGTAAGGATACATCATAAAAGAACCAATCTGGAGCTGATAGACATTTGCGCTATTGTAAAAAAAAAAAAAACACTCAACATTACAATGAATTAACATATTGTCATTTCACATATGCACCAGATCACAGAAATAGAATTTTTAAAGGCCCTCTCAGGACACAAATAATCCCGTCACCTCTTTATCAGCCACATGGCCTTTGATACACAAATAAAGCATGTATTCAACCCCTGAGTGATGAACATAAGCAACACTACAGTGAGCATTTTGCACACATCTCCCATCTTCCTGGGTGTTTAGGGCTTTGCTGCCTGAGGGGAGGCTCCAGCTGAGGCAGGAGGTCTCTCCTATGAAGGATGGAGACTCAAGCCTGGCCTCACTGCAGACTTGCTTCTTCATTCCAGGCTGCCTGTACTGGAGACAGCACTTCCGGCTGGAGATCCTCACCCCAACCCACTAGACTCCGTCATGAGTAACCGCTTCCCCCGCTGGTTCATCCTGGGCCACTTGGAGACTCGCCAGTGCGAACTGGCCTCCACCATGCTGACTGCTGCCAAGGGTGAGGATGACACTGCCCTCGTCCCCTGTTTTCTTCTGCCCCTCCTTCCTCCCTTTTCTGTGTTCCTTCCTCTCTTATGTCCTTTTATCAAATTCCACCAGTTTTCCTGGAGTCCTTTTAGATGGACCAGGCACTGTGGCAGGTGCTAAGGATGCCGTAGTAAACAAAACTGTCCCAAATTTCATGCCCTGTGGTGTTATATTGGAGTGGGGGCAGAAAGACAATAAATAAAGTAAAGAGGATAGTTGTGCAGTAAGTGAGACGGTAGCAAGTGCACCAGAGGGGGATAAGGCAGGTTGACATTTAAGCCAAGACATGAATGTGCAGAGCCATGTCAACATCTGGTGTCTTGGCTCAGGCTGCCATCACAAAATATCTCAGAACAACAGAAATTTATTTTCTCACAGTTCTGAGGCTGGAAATCCAAGGGTTCAGCATGGTCAGTTCCTGGTGAGGACTCTCTTCTGTTTTGTTTTGTTTTTTGGTACATGCCCCTAGCGAGAACCGAACCCAGGACTCTCTGGTCCACAGGCTGACACTCCAACCGCTGAACCAAACCGGCCAGGGCGCTTTTCTGTCATGCAGACAACCACCTTCTCATTGTGTCTTCACATGGCAGAGAGATCTCTCATCTCTCCTGTTCTTATAAGGGCACTAATTCCATCATGGGGGCCCTACCCTCTTGACCTCTTCTAAATTTAATTGTCTCTCTCAAAGGCCCCACCTCCAAATATCATCACGCTGGGAGTGAGGGCTTCAACATATGAATTGGGGGGAGGAGGGGGGGACACAGTTCAGTCCATAACATCTGAGAAAAGCATTCCAGGCAGAGGAACGAGCCAGTGCAAAGGTCCAAGGCTGGACTGTGCCTATATGCTTGAAGAACAGAGGAGTGGCTGGAGTAGAGTATTGGAGAATTGTAGGATCTAAGTCAATGATGATAATAATGATAAAAAATAATATTTGTGTAGCTCTGGCCATGTTAAAGCCTTTACTAGTATGGGCTCTCAATGGCCCTGTGAGGCAGGTCCCATTACATTAGTATTACTCATTGCACAGTTGGAACAGCCACGGCACAGGGACGTGAAGTGACTTGTGCAGGGTCACACAGCAAGGCAGGGATTTGAACCCTGGCATTCAATTCCAGAATCCATGCTCCTGACCATTAGGCATCCAGCAGGTTCCCAAGTGGCTTCGTCCCAATGGAAATGGAGGAGGGCTGAGGAGAGAAGGGGGTGGGAGTGAAGAGAGTGGTCTAGAGTGGTCTGGATCTACAGAATCATTGTCAGGTGCGTGACTCTCCATGCTCACACCTGTGCGCCTGTGTGGAGGTACATGAACTGCCTGGTGTAACAATGGTGCCAATGTCCCCCTCCCCACCCCAGGAGACCCCAAGTGGTTGCACACAGTATTGGGCTCCATCCAGCAGAATATCCACTCTCCAGCCTTGCTCTTCAAGCTGGCACAGGACGCTTGCAAGACAGCCACCCCAGCCAGCGCACCACCAGACACCACCCTGCTGGGCATTGCACTGGAGCTAGGCCTGCAGGTGAGGGCCCCCAGGAGGATGGGGGAAGGGGATGCTGCCAGGGTAGGGGTTGGGAATGTCAGTGGCACCTCTGGGGCCAGGCCACAGAAAGGCAGAGTCTGTAAGTCCTGGGAGTGGGGTCATGAGGTTATCAGTGGGGGTGGGCCTATGAATTAAGGACTCAGTGGCAGAGTCTGAAAGTGAGAATCTAGCCCTGGCTGGTTTGGCTCAGTGGTTGAAAGTGAGAATCTACCTTTGGGGGTGTGGCTGAGGAGGAGGGTCATGAAGACTGCTGGTGAGAGGATGGGCCACAGAGGGAGCACAGTCCAGGGGTTCTGGCCTTGGGAATGAGGCCTGGGACTGGTGTGCTATGGGACCATGAAGTGGGGGGCAAAGCCTGCCAATTAGGAGCTTTCTTGGAGGTGGGGCCTTTAGGGGAACCCAGCCTAGAAGACACCACTGAGGGGCTGGGTTTGGAGGAAGTCTTAAAGGTGAGGAGCTACCTCTGGGGGTGAGGTCTGTGGTTGAAATGGGTGAGTGTCCCAGCCACCCCTATGGGTCAGGCCATCTTGCCCTAGCGAGGCAGAGGCCAACATGCATGGGTGCAGCCTGTAGGTGAGTAGCCAACTGCAGGGTGTGTGGTGTGGAGGGGGGTAAGGTCTCAGAGGGTAGGCTAGTAAAATAAGAGAGTAAATTTCAGCCTGGGGTAGGCTTGCAGGGTTGGGTGGGACTTTCCCAGGTAGAATTAGCAAGGAAGGGGCCCTCATAGGCAGAATTAGACAAAAATAACTTCTTGTGGGGTCTGGAGCCATTAGGGGCATGTGGAGGGGACAGGACAAGGGTGGAGGTTTAGAAAGAGACCCTCTATTTAGGAGCTTCCAGAAGGCAGGATCCACTAGACAGAACTGGGGATGGAGCCTGCAGAAAGAGGCAAGCAAGGAAGATGCGTATTGGGGGTGGGAGCTAAAGAAGGTGGGACCTGTGGAGCAGGTGCTCTGTTGAGTGTTACAGGGGGGAATCTGCGGACGTGAAGCATGGAACTTTCTGGAGAGTAGGAACTGGTCGGCTTGTCCAGAGTAGGATGCATGGGGACCTCAGCGTAACACCAGCAATAGCAGTAATAGTAATGGCTGACGTTAGCCAAGCACTTTGAGGCAACAGACTGTGCAAACAGCATTATTACATAATTTTGTTTAATTCTCATAACCCTATGAAATAGATACAGTTTTTATCCCCATTTTACAGGTGAGTAAACTAAGGCCCAGAGAGGTGAAGCCATTTGTCCAGCCCGTATGGCTCACTGACTCAGCCCCTAACTTCTAAGTCTCCCTGGGTCCCTAAGGATCCCATCCTCTCTCCTTCAGCCACCCTGAGGTTTTGGGTGACTCCTTTCTGTCCCCCTTCCCACCCTGCAGGTGATGCGGATGACCCTGAGCACCATGACTTGGCGGCGAAGAGAGATGGTGCGCTGGCTTGTCAGCTGTGCCACGGAGATTGGTGAGTCCCCAAGGGGACCTGCCACCCATCTCTTCATGAAACCAGGAGGGTACGAGAGAAGTAGAGGCCTTCCTCTGGATCTAGCCTGTGCTTGGGGCTAAGCCAGGAGGGAATGTTGGGCAGAGGGACTGTGCTGGACAACAGCCTGGAGGCTGGCCAGGCTGAATGGCTTGGAGAGGGCCAATGGCACCAAAGCTTAGTCCCCCCACCACATACCCAGTTCCCAACTAGTCCTGCTGCACCCTGTTCTGTTGGAAGGGTACAGCAGCAGGTGGAGACACAGGGAATGTGTATTGGGGTAAACCCATGGACATATGTCCACATTCCTGCTCCTCTTCCTGACCAGTTTCACCATCTCACCTTCCCCAGGTCCACAAGCCCTGATGAACATCATGCAAAACTGGTACTCCTTATTCACACCGGTGGAGGCAGCCACCATTGTGGCAGTGACTGGCACCACACATGCCACTCTATTGCGGCTGCAGCTCGATGCACCCCGGCGGGAGGAGCTCTGGGCCTGTGCCCGAACCCTGGCCTTGCAGTGCGCCATGAAAGACCCGCAGAACTGCGCCTTGCCCGCTCTCACCTTGTGTGAGAAGAACCACGCGGCCTTCGAGGCGGCCTACCAGATTGTGCTGGATGCAGCGGCTGGTGGCCTGGGCCACGCCCACCTCTTCACTGTGGCCCGATACATGGAGCACCGAGGCCTGCCTCTGCGGGCCTACAAGCTGGCTACACTGGCCCTGGCACAGCTCAGCATTGCCTTTAACCAGGACAGCCACCCCGCCGTCAACGACGTCCTCTGGGCCTGCTCCCTCAGCCACTCCCTGGGCCGGCACGAGCTTTCAGCCATTGTCCCACTCATCATCCGGAGTATCCACTGTGCCCCCATGCTCTCTGACATCTTGCGCCGATGGACCCTCTCAGCACCTGGCCTGGGTCCCCTGGGGGCTCGCCGGGCAGCCAAACCACTGGGCACTGACCGGGCACCGCTCTGCCAGCTCCTGGACGCCACAGTGGCAGCCTACATTAACACTAGCCACTCTCGCCTCACACACATCAGCCCACGACACTACGGCGACTTCATCGAGTTCCTGGGCAAGGCCCGAGAGACCTTCCTGCTGGCACCTGATGGGCACCTTCAGTTCGCCCAGTTCTTAGAGAACCTCAAACAGACTTACAAGGGCAAAAAGAAGCTCATGCTGTTGGTGCGGGAACGTTTTGGCTGAGGGGGTTCCAGCAGGTCGTGAACAGGGTCTCCCTTTGCTCCTGCTTTTGTGGCACCCACTCTGCATCGGGGTTCTGGACTGGAGGTCCTGTGGCATCTCAATATTGAGTCAGGGAAGGAGCCCAGCTAGAGCTAGGTGGTCTTGCCTGCCATCCCCAAAGCCTGCCTGGACATGGGAATGGGGCGGGGATGGGGGGTGGTGTCCTGTCACATGTGTGCCTAGGACTATGCAAGTGAGTGTTCGAGATGCACGGATCAGAAGCCATACCACCACCCAGAGGCCTAGAAGGGGGTGTGTGCTTGAGTAGCTGGTATGACCCCACCTTGGGCACCCCAAAAGCAGTAAGCAGGCTCCCCTTCCCCAAACTTGCAGGTCTGGCTTGGGCTCCGGGGGAGCTGGGAGGCAGGACTTTCCAGAAACTGGCTCTCCAAGTCAATGTAGCAGACCCTTCCCACACCCTACTCTGGATGGCCAGGGGACTTAGGGTATCTAAATTTCTTTTTGTACCTTCCTCTCACTGCCTCAGGAGCCCCCTCCCAGGCTACCCGCCAGGACCAGTGGCTCACCCCCACTGAAGGATTTAAAGAGGCCTCAGGCCTCAGCCACATACCTCAACCCCCATCTGGCCAGGACTCCTATTCCTGTGGGTACTGGGGTCTCAGAGTGGCCTAGGGGGTCATTGCTGTTCCTCCCCCTACCTGCTAATCACTGGACATACAACTCAGGAACTGAGCCACGCTCACACTGTCATCATCCAAACCTGGAGACAAGCACAGGCGAGCCAGGGACTCCCCATCCCAAATTTGGAAAGGAAAGAAAGGCTGGCCTCTGGGCATTCTCTGGCTCTGGCTCTGGCTCTCCCTTTCTCCTCCTCTGTCTCCTTGCTCTCTCTGCCCCTTCACTTTCCTCTCCTTTTCCATATTTCTCTCCACCTAGCCTGCCTTTCTATTTGTCTCTAAGTCCCAGCTGCTGTCTTTATGACCTCCCCACCTTCCCCCCATCTTTTTCCCTCTTGTAATTAAGGACAAAAGATCACATCTTTTTATAACTTTTTTTTTCTATTTATTGAACTGTATATTGTACTTCCTTTTTCCTTTTTGTTTTTTTAAAGATGGAACACAGCTTTTTCTTCTTTAGTTTATTTTGAGACTGAAGTGTATGTCCGCCCCCACCCCCAAACAGGGGCCCTCCACTTTTCCTCCATAGAAAATGCCCAGTTTCAAGTGAGGGGCAGAACAAGAGTGACTGCTGGTGTCATCGGTGGTAACGGCAAATAATGGCAGGCAGTGTGGAGAGGTCACCATGAGCAAGCCCTGTAGTGAGTGCTTTACATTTGGCCTACGGAGTCGGTAGGAACATTTACATTTACAGACGAGAAAACTGGAGCTCCAAAGTCTAAGGAACGGGCATCCATTTTAGGAACAAAGTCTAATTTAATACTTTGCTGGAGCCACTGACTTCCCACCCCAGGCAACACGGCCCTTGCGCCGCTGGGACTCGCCGCTAGGGGTTGCCCTTGCTCCAGACACCTGCTGTTAGGGGTACTTCTCCAAGTTGCTGAGCCGCGGGAGTGGAGGGTGAGTGCTGGGTGCAGCTGGGTGGGGGAGACACCACAGCCCAAAGGTGGGAACACTGCTTTTAGACTAGGCCCTGATGGGTGGAACTCCGGCCGAAACTAAAGTCGCAGGTGGGCGCAGTCAATGGGGAACCGCCAGGGCGTGTCTGAGCTCCTACACTGCAGATGAGGCTTCCAGTCCCCAAAGAGTGAGGGGTCTAGGGGACAGCGAGAAGGCCCTCGGCTACCTTCCTTCACTGGCTCCCCAAGAAGCAGGAACTCTCGGTACCCTTCAGCCTTCAGAGATAGACGAACTGTCTGGGTCACTCAACCGGGGCAGGCGAGGACAAGAGGCTTCCGGGAGAGACTGGGTGGGTTGGCCGCTAGAAGGGCACTGTGATTGGCCCGTGGTACCTCCCTGCGCTCCAGGGGACCAATTGGAGGCGGCCCCACCTCCTGCTCCGCTTCGCGTGTTCCCGCAGGTATGTGAGGGCGGACTGAGGATCGGCGCGCCCCTTAGCGCCGCCTAACGGCCTGGAAGGGTAGAGGTGGCCGTTGTCCCAGCCGCCTCCAAATGCCATCCTCAGACCCGGAGTGCCCCTTAACTGGGACCCCGAAGTTATCAAAAGTCATCCACAAGTGTCCCCCTTAAGTCATGCACACACCTCAAGCCCAAGTTCCCCACCAGCATCTAGGATACCAGGCACCTGGAATCTTACCCCAGGCTGTTTCCCTGTATGTCTCAGTCACTCCCCCATAAATGTCACTAGCTCAAGACTCAGGTTCTAGTTATCTCTGAATGTCCAATATTTACCTCAGGGTCAGCCTGCATCACCACTACCTGAAGTTGGATTCCATACCCCCTTGGCCCTGAGCATGACTCTATCTAGGATCGCCCCCCAAAAAAATCTTTCGCTGTCACATCAGCCCCAAAAGTCAGTCCCTCCAGTCCAGTGTTTCAGACATCCCCCTCAACCCCAGGACACCCCTCAAGGTCACTTTTCCATACCCAAGGGACCCTCTCCACCCTTGTAACTAAACTGTCACCTTCCTCAGAACAGGTGCAGAGGGTATGGGGATCCTATGAGGTCAGGAGCTTAGGAGTCCAGTAAATTTGGGCTGATTCAACCTCCTCACCCAAAAAGCCAGAACTCCAGGGATGAAAGGCGGAAGTGAATCACAAACCACCAGACTTTCAGGAATAAGGTGGGGCAGCTTTTATTTAATTGGACACTAACCACCCCACACAGCACAGACTGCCCCAAGCCTCTCTTATCTGCCCCTGACCGAGCAAGGAAAAGGGTACGCTGGGCCAGCCCTGACAACCTGGGGGCTTCACTCTGCTCTTCCATGCTATGGGACCACCCCAGGACTGAGCAGGCCTGCTTGTGTCCTTTTGAGGCCCCCACAGGGGTCTCATTCCCCACCCTGTGTGCCAGGGGGGTGTCAAGACTCCTCCCTCAAGATAGGAAGCTGCAGAACCCAGGCTGAAGGGGTCAGGCACGTTCACATCAGACCAACCTGGTTCCGGAAGCCTGGAGTTGGCATTTAACGGTCTGAGGGCCCAAGGCAGTTTCCTCTTGGGTAACTGGCTGCTGGGAAGGTGCAGCCCAGCCGGTGCCCCCACCAGGCTTGGGAGAGGAGGGGCCAAGACTCCAGGCCCAAGGGTCACCCAGGCAGAGACACAGCTAGCTTCCCTTTTTTATGGAAGGGCCACCCACTGTCCTCCTTGGGAACACAGCCCAGCTGGAGGTAGGACTGTGGGGGTCTCCAAGAGCAAAGATGGGGGAGGAAGCCTGCAGCAAACAGCTGGATCCATCCACCCCATCCTCAGTCCCATCCCTCCCCAAGCCCCTCCAGACACAGCTGTAGGTTTGGGTCTTCCTCTATTCACCCAGGCATCTGTCTCTTCCCCCAGGCATCAGCCCATCCAGGGAAGGCAGGGGCCACGAGCTCCTAGGGGACTTGACTCCTGTTCCTGCTGAACTGAGCCAGTCTGTACAAATCAACTGTGTTTCAGCTCAGTAGGCACGGGAGGCAGAGCCCAGGGAAGCTAGGTGGCAGAACAGGCAGGGAGAGGCAGCAGAGCTGGAGGAGGTGAGGGCCCAGGGGGGCGGAACTTAGCCACTGTGAACATGACTTGGTGCAGACCCTGCTCACAAGCAGCTAAGCCCTGCTCCCCAGGCCAAAGGCGGCAAGGGGCCTCTCTGCCACCCCATCCCCAGTAGCATCCTCGGTGGTGGTGGTGGTGGTGATGATGGTGGTGATGATGGTAGTAGTGGCGGCGGTGACAGCCCCAGAGGCTGGGCTCAGGGTCGGTTGGAAATCCCTGGCAATGTGATTTGTGACAGGCAGCAAATCCCATCCCCAGGAACCCCAGCCGGCCATGGCACAGGGGTAAGGAGGCACTGGGCGGGGCCATCAGCTGGCACCTGAGGGGGGGAGAGAGAGAGAATAAAGGAGGTATAATGAGATTTGAGGACATCTGCCCTCCAGGTCCCAACAGCTGCTATCCTCTGAGGCCTTAGAGGGATACCCTCTCCCCATGTGCACCAGCAGCTGAATGGAGAGCTGGACCACCAGGCTGGACTCCCCACCCCAGCCATGCCCTCTGTCCCAGGCACAGGGATGAAGAGATGACAGGAGACTCCCTTTGGGCCAGAGAGGCTGCAGGGATTCTCAGAGCTAGATCTCCACCTTTCCACTGGGTCATTCCATCACCACCACTGAGCCCTGGGCAGGCTATATGGGGCCATGGGGAGAGGAAGCCAAGGGGGTGGCGGGCAGGCAGTTAAGGAAGTGATCTCACCCCAGCTGGCGCCACTTCCTAGAAGCATGAAGGGCAGGAGGAAACCACCAGGACCTCCCCCCGTAGTCCTGTCTCCTCAGCAGCCAGGCCTTAGCCTGCACCACACCAGAGCGGATGCCGGCAGTGGACGCCCAGCAATCCATGCTGGGCACGCATACCCCAGAGCAGCAGATCAAGGCTCGAGGTGCAAAGCCCCACTCAGCTGTTTTCCAAATGCCCACCAAGCCTCAGTTTCCCCATCTGTACAATGGAGCCAAGGGCTTCTATGTACCTTATAGCACAATGAAGTTTCACTAAGAGTGTGTACATCCTTCAGCAAGTGCTTGGCACCAGAACTGCCTATAGAATTTGTGGAGCTACATGCAACATGAAAACACAGGGCCCCTCAATTAAGAATTTTAAGACATCAACGGCAGAGCATTTAAACCAAGCTCCAGGTTCTTTGAGGTGGGGAGTCAGGGGTAAAACCAGTTGTGTGTTCAGTAAACGGGGCTCTGTGGCTAGGAGACTCCAACTCTAGAGCCAAGCTGGCCAGACCTGATCCCCAGCTCCACAGCTTCCGAGCTGGGTGATTCTGAGTAAGTCACTCAACCTCTCTGCGCTTTCGTTTCCCCATCTGCAAATCAGGGATACTTTGGTGGTAAGGATCCCAGGAGTGCTAGGTGTAATTTGGGTGAAGCTACCCTATCATCACAAACCAGGCAAAACAGAAAGGAAGATGGAAATGAGGACACTGCACATGGGTAGGACCCCAGCACCCAGATCTGGTGGTGTCCACCACTGGAAGACAGGCTCTGTCCCCCCAGTCTCCTCACAGACATATACCCACTTTCTCATCATGCCCAGTCCGACCCTGTCTCCTCAGGGCCTGGGGGCACCAACCAGGAGCAGACAAGGCCCTGAAGGGCGGCCGGCCTCCCTGGGCCTCCTCCGGAAGTGAGACAGCACAATCATGTCCCAGGGACGAGAACGGGAAGGGCGGCCATTTGGCCAGGCCTGTTTCCTGTGGGGTTTCCCCTGTACAGAGCCCCAGGACAGGGCCAAGGCCACTCCCCATCCTCACAGGCACAAAAGGCCTGGGTCTCTCATGGAGGGGGCACTGTGAGGCAGGTGCCCAGGAGCCAGTGTCCCTGTTCCCAACAGCTTGCCTCTCAGGCTCATGGGTGATGGTATCCAGGGAGGGCCAAGCTCCTGGCAGCTGAAGGTATGAGGGGAGGGTTGGCCCTGGGCCGGGGGAGCAAAGCAGGCCCCAGGCCTCACAGATGGATGCACGTGTGCCTGAGAATTCCCTGCAGACAGGGTGTGGAGGCCTGAGACACACAGACAAGCATCTTGTCACCCCACCACCACCCTATGTTCCAAGAATGAATATGGGCCACTTCCGCCGGGGGCGCCACCACCACCACCGCCCCCAAGCCTGGTCCCCAAATACTTTCCACCTTCTCTCTCAGAGCAGCTGGGATCGGAAAATACCAAGGGCTACAGGCCCCGCCCTGTCGGCCGCCACCGCCTGCC